AGAGAGAGAGAGAGAGAGAGAGAGAGAGAGAGAGAGAGAGAGAGAGAGAGAGAGAGAGAGAGCAGGAAAGGAGCGTCGGGTTTTGATTGGTCTCCTAAAGCCCAGCCCTGCGCTCTCATTGGTTCAGATCAACCACTAAACGCTGAAATGAGTTGGGGAAAATAATCTCGCGGCACTCCGCTGTGTGTTCAGCCTCACGGCTCCTTGTTGCGCCTCGCGACTCTGCGCGTAAAGGATAACCATTTTTTTTTTTATATAAAGAGGAATCCAGCTGGAGCGACGAGATCGATCCAGTTCTTTATTCCAGTTTTGGTTTTGGGGAACCGGGATTCGGTTGCAAGAACTTTCTGTTACGCACGAAAAGGACAGTCCTGAACTTCAGCAGCAGCTTGTCTCTTTATACTCAAGTAGAAAAAAAAATCTGACTTTTTATATATTTTTCCAAGGTTGAAGTTCTTTATTTGCGACGTCTATTGTTGGCTTTTATGTCTTTTTTTTTTTTTTTTAAGTTTAGCCAAAAACAACCGGTGGGGCTGGATTGAATTTTTTTGTTGTTGTTTTGTCACGGCTGGATTACCTTTTTTTCTCTCCTAGTAAATGATTGGGTTGAATTGGGATCTGCAGTGAGGTCTAAAGCAGTTTGCGGTGTTGGTGTATTGTTTACACGCGGCTGAAAGTATTTAAGTGTGCGGTAGATGAGAGCACAGATACAAACCCAGCCCCGCGCACACTTTGGAAAGCTTTTTTTGTGTGTGATGTTTCTTCAAATTTACGCATCGTGAACAGATGAGCAAAAACTCTCCAGAGTTTAGTGGGTTTTTTGTCCAAGACTCTTCTCTGTCTGCGCGCTTTTGACTCCATCCTTTTTAGCGCACATCTGCGTCTGGAAGACACAAAGAGACTAAGAAAACAGTTTTTTTCCCCCCTCCAAAGAGTTCGGCTCTTCTCACACAACCCAGTTAAGTGGCACTGACCCAAGCTGTTGTGATGCATATTCCCGTAGAGCCGCCCACCACCAGACGGTTCACGCCGCCCTCGACATCCTTCCCCTGCAGCAAAATTGGAGACGCCAACGGCTCCATGGCCACCCCGGGCTCTCTCAGGTCCAGACCGGATACCAGGAACGTGGTGGACGTCCTCGCGGACCACGCCGGCGAGCTGGTCCGAACCGACAGCCCCAACTTCCTCTGCTCGGTGCTGCCTTCTCACTGGCGCTGCAACAAGACGCTCCCCGTGGCTTTCAAGGCAAGACCGATGGCTTCTAATAACTTATGTTTTTTTTTAGATGCTGGACATACGTTAATGTCAGAGAGTTGAGACAGAAACAAAGAATTTAATTCCACTTGTTTATAAAATATTAAAACAAATTAATTAATTAATAAAACGCCTCTGCAGATGAGTCAGTCCAGGCTTTTTACAGACAACAGGAACTACAGATGAAAAAAAAGCTGAACCTAGTTTTACTTTCAGTGTTTTTATTTCTCTTTGATTTAGCTTGTTACTTTTAGTGCAGCTTTGTGTTTTATGTATTTTATTTGAAAATAATAATTTAATTTTTTTTAGATCCAACAAATTAAATCTAGAAACTAAGAGGATGGCACACAAATTGAGATGTTATTTGTAGTAAACACCTCACCTCCGTGCCACAGCGTTTACGCACCAAATATGATTGGCTGCGTTGAAAACAGTAAAGATCTTGAATCTTAATAAGAGCCGGATGCGGGTTTTACGCGCGCGCGTGCTGTGCGCCTTTGGAGTGACCGAACCGCCGCCTGCTTGTCTCCCCGCCGCGCAGGTCGTGGCCCTCGGCGACGTTCCGGACGGGACTCTGGTCACCGTGATGGCCGGGAACGACGAGAACTACTCGGCCGAGCTGAGGAACGCCTCCGCGGTGATGAAGAACCAGGTGGCCCGCTTCAACGACCTCCGCTTCGTGGGCAGGAGCGGACGAGGTGAGCTCAGACTCTCCTTTCCTCACGGCCACACGGGGTTTAGGCCCTGCTCAGTAAAAAAAATAAGAGGAAATTTAATCTTTTTTTTTTGGTGCAGCTTATAATAAATCTTACGCCCTGGTGCATCGAGAGCTTATTTGTTTATTTAATTTATTAGTGAAAAGGATCCAATCTTAAAAGATTTTTTTCCACAGACGCTGACAGGAAACTTGGAACCACAAGGGTCTGCAGAAATCCATATTTGAAACTGGCTTTGGTCAGATTTATATAAAATCTGCAAATAATTTTGATTTGGCTTTGCCAGCTCAGTGGTGTCATCCCACACATCTGGCCTGCGTCACGGTGCGCGCACGCAACGTGTCTGTTTAATTTTCCTAATCCAGAGGGATAGAAATAATTACCCACGTGGTTTAGTTCGAAAAAAAATAATATATAACCACTTGGCAATTGGTGTCCTGAGGCAGTTGGTTAAATAATCCGTTCAGTGGTAGGTAAAAGGCAGTTTTAAACTCTTGTATTTAGTTTCTTTATTAAAATTCACACATCAACAGGCCTGTTTGCAGGATGTTGTGGTTAAAGCCCAGGTCTGCTGACTGATTTTTTTATTTATTTTTTATTTTTTATTTTTTTGGTTCTATATCAAGTAAATCAAAATGTCCAAGAATAAAAACTCGATTGTTCTCAATGTTAAAATGATTTAGGATCTTCAAGCCGAACAGACATTTCTCTAATTATCGATCTAATTACCAGCCCTGATCGTTAAAACGTGGGAAGACATTTGATACCTAAAAACGATTTTAAGCAAATAGTTTAATTTTTGTTTCTTCAGCTTACATTCTTTTCTTTCCTCCTACGCAGTGTGTTTTTTTGCAGAGATGCCCTTTTTATCATTATTGTTTTTTTTCTCACAGTCATCACTGCCATGCTGCAGCAGCCTTCCTCTTTCTGCAGATGTGAGAAAGATTCTGTCTTGTTCAACATTTGCTGCAGGCCTATTTTTTTTTAATCTGGAAGATAGGATCTCAGAATACTAAATCATGCCCACGGACAAACCGTTAAAAATGCTGGAGCCGTTTTTTATCTTAAAAACAATATAAAAAAAAACATGAAAGCCACAAATTCTAGGAAAAAGAAAGTTGCTTTGAAGCCTCATAATAAAATGTGTTGTTTGACTGCAGGAAAGAGCTTCACTCTGACCATCACCGTGTTCACCGGCCCACCACAGGTGGCCACCTACCACCGCGCCATCAAAGTCACCGTGGATGGACCCCGGGAACCGCGCAGTGAGTCCACGCAAGCGCATAAACATCACACTTTTATGTTCCTTTTATTTAATTAGTGCATTGTGGTGAGATGTGGAGTCCAACGCATTTGTTACATAAAAAGTCAGAGCAGGTCTGAAATGTGTGCGTGGGTGTGTTGTGTTTATCACAAACCATCAGTTCACACCACCAGAAGTGCTAAAATCATTTTTTTTCTTTTCACAAGATTTGTTTGGGCTTTTAAAAAATGGTTTTTTAGGTTAAGATAAAAAAAAGAAGAAGTTCTGGTTTAATTTGTGGTGTGCCTCATAAAGGTTGATGTCCTCAGTAGATTAGCTGATCCAGTGTGAAGCGTTCAGGCCTAACTGAAGACCACTAAAAAAGGAGCCTATCTCCAAGCTGCAGGTGGATCAGGATTTGTGAAACCCACCCCCCTCTAATTCCTCACAGCTTCCTCAGAGCTGGTCACAGTGGGGGGTCTTACCTGCCTGATAAGTTACTCCCTGATTTATTTAATAGAGTCAGTCCTGGCCCTAAAGCTGTTCGCTGCCTTCTCGGTGTGGTTCAAGGCCAAGACTCAAGTGGCTTCGAGGTTAGACCTGTGTGTGCACGAGTCTATTGTGAGGCTCAGCGACAGATAAGATGTGTAGCATTTCTGCTCCATGAGGGGACCGTGTTTAGTGGGGCACTAAAAGCTCCCAGAACACGGTGGATAAAGCCGCGGCAGCTCGTGTGGAGGTGGAAACCAGGACAGGCTGGATTTAAACCAGTCAAAACAGAGCTCGGAAGGAACAGAGGGAGTGGGAGCAAGTGTCACATGAGCGGGGTGGCAGTGGGGGAGCAGAGGGGCATCATACCCCCCCACCACCACCACCACCAGTCGAGCTGGATGCTATTTGTAGAGGTATAAAAGAGAGGCGCGACCGCAAAGGCAGAATGGACTTAATAATAAACGCTGCATGTGTGCATGGTTTCAATTTGATATAGTCTTTTGTTTAGCATAAAAAACTGTTCCTACAAAGACATGTGTGTGTAAATACACGTGTGTCTCAGTTTGAAATAACCGTGCACATCAAAGTGGTCTCCTGTCTGTCTGTCAGCACGTTACGACTCCAGCTGAGGCGTCAGGGTGGCCGTGATGCTTTTACACTTGTGCTATAAAGTGACACTGTTTAATTTAGGCCAGAGGGACTTTAAGGCTCCATTAAAGCCGCACCACCACCACCCCCAGCCCCCTTTTGCACTGACTCAAGGGAGAAAATAAACTTTTGCATAAGCTAATTTAAAACTGCATCTGAGTCTGATTTCTGTGTGCACAACTTGACTCGTTTGACTCTCTAATAACAGTCGGGCAGTGAGGCGTTGCATTTATGGAAACATGACAACGTGCACAACAACAACAACACGACAGGTTCAGTCGCTCTGCAGGGGAAATTAATCCAAGATTTCCAAACAGGAGTTGTGTAAAAAAAGAAAAAAAAAGAAAAAAAAAGAAAAGCATATTTACATGATTTGTCGTTTTTGCTTAAACAAGCTGTTGGACGTGAAGCCGAGATGACATTTTGACCCACTCATGGCGTGTGGAAGAATCTGCAGCCTCCAAAATAGAAATGACATGAGACAGAATAAAAAGAGCACTTCTTTTTTAAACAAGGAGCACATTTTAAGAGTCGTGTTCCAACACACAAAAAAAGAGAAAAAAAAAGTAAAAGAGGAACACACGCTATCATTCAGACATTATAAAGACCATAAAAATAATCAGATTCTTCTTTGACCACAAGGCACTGTATTATATCAGCTGTAGAGCTAAAGTAGACAGGAGCTGTTGCCAACACTACTAACACTTTCTTTCGTTATGAATCTAATCCTTTCAGGGGCAGTTCTAGTTTTATATATATATATATATATATATATATATATATATATATATATATGTATATACATGTGTGTGTGTATAAATATATACCCTCAAATGATTTAGGCTGTTTACAGTGTGGTTGTGCATCTCGGTGCAAACAGCCTGAAGCTCCACTTGGATGCGGTTCTGCTCACCTGTTCACAGGCTGACAGACTGTAGGGCCATCCTGCTCAGGGCTTTGCAGACTGTTTGTGTTGGGGCCTCTGCATTTGCATGGCTGCTAGCTGAGCTGCCATGGAGCTGGGATGGGGGGGTTGGAGGGTTTTTATTAATGTTTGCTGATTCAGACGAGAGAACCTGATGGACAGGACTGCAACGGTGGCTCACCTGGGGCGGTTTGACAAAGAGCACCATGCCCTCTGAAAACACCTGAGCAGTAAGCTAGTCACACATAGTTGTGTATTCGAATGTACACAACATGCCAAGACACACAGAGACATGTAAAGCAGATCGAAACACACTCGCAAAGGTTCTGCCCCCGAGTAGAAAGCATGTTCTGCTAAGTATTTTTTGCTCTTTTTTTTTTTTTTTNACTCACACACACACTCACACACACAAATACACACACACACACACACTCACACAAACTTACACACACACACACACACATTCACACTCACACTCTCACACACACACTCACACACACAAATACACACACACACATACACTCACACACCCCCCCACACACACACACACACATTCACACTCACACACACTCAAACGCACCTCCCCCTGATCTCCCAGTCATAATTTATTATCAGACTTCTGCTGAGCTCAAACTGGAAACTCAACGCTTGTAACTGCCGATGACAGCTCTATCTGAGGAGCAGCTTCGCCACCAGCTACTGTGCATCACAACCCGAAGCAACAACAGAAGCGCACAAGACAAAAATGAAAAGCAGATGACTTAAAGAGTCGATGCGCTTCCTGTCGAAACGCAAAAAAATAAATAAATAAAAAACGCCACGCGGGCGTTACTCTCACCAAGCAGCCCTCTTGAGTTTTTTTTTTTCTCTGTTTTTCTTCTCACACTCGAAAACCTTTGACATGACATCAACTGTCACCTATTTACTGACAGAGGAAGGAGCGTTTTTATTTCTGGATCTGTTCACGTTAAATGAGTCAGTCTCTGAGAACGTCTCACTGTATGTCACGCAGAGAGACACTAAATAAGATTCAGAATTATTTTGAGCGTGTCAAATGAAATTCAGAACTAATGTTTGTGGCCTGATGGGATGGGTGCGGGTTTCCGTTTTAACTTAAATACTCGCTCAGAAAGAAGAAAATGGAAACGTTTCATTTAAAAACAAGAAATATAAAGTAACATTTGTCGATATTTTGACTATTACTTAAAGGTTGATCATATTTGTGTTCCTTTTATCAGTTTAAGAACAAATTTCTTTTTCAATTTCACATCAGCAGAGTGAATGGCTTGCTCGAACATGGCAGATTGTCTTATAATACTTGAGAATGATACTCGTGAATGGGTGCTAGCTGCTTACATCATCGTATGTTGTACGTAGGGGATACACTTCACCACCCAAAAAGGCCTACACATCTGCCAAAATCACTTGAGCGCCGTCGTGTTTTGTTGCTCTGTTTACTCGTCTGGGTGTGTCCGCTCAGCTCCAGGAGGAGAATGATGGGCGTGGGGGATGGAGTTGGGAGAGTTGGGGTGGGTGGTGGGGGGGTGGCATGTTGGAGCTGGCGGGTTGATTTTATTTGCATTTGGCACACAGACTGTACAAAGTATGCAAATAGACAAACAATGACATTTGCTGTGTTATTTTTCCTGTGATATTGCAGTCTCTCTGCAAAGTCAACAAAAAGATAGCATGCGTGTGGATTGCATTTGCGTGTGCTCAGGCTCATGCACCTGCCAGGTGCGTCTCTTTAAAAAAAAAAAACATCGGCCCCCACCGAGCCACGCCCATGCTTCACAAATCACATGAAAGGCTGCCCCTCGGTGCGAATTGCTCTCTCAAAGGCAACTTTGATGTTTGAAAGAGGAGACGGGCGTCTTTGAAAGAAAGGCCTACAGGTGTATGAGTGCCAGGGGAGGGGGAAAAACAGGGGCATGTGTGACTCTGGGTGCTTTCCTGATTGTTAAAGCCCATCTCTATCAGGTCTCCTGGAGAAATAGAGGCCTGAGCGTGCACACAATCACACACATTCTCAACAACCAAACTCATGACCACCTAGTTTATGATTTGGTTGAGGAGATGTTTTTGCCCCAGTGCTGTTTAACGACAGCTGTACAATTAATKAAAGGGCAAATTTAATTTCCTCTAAAAGAAAGCGACAGGATAACGACTGTGAGTTGTCATCTGCAGCTTTTTTCCTCCCTGGGGTCACTTCTGACTAATCGTAAACAGCCTCAGCGATTATAAAATAGAGCAAGTATGAATGGAGTTGGGCCTGCGTGTTTGGGATGAAACATTCACCACACTACTGAGGTTTATAAGGCTTATGACGGGCGGCCATTGGGGATCTTTCCGTCATTATTTTGGGATGTATCTTTTTTTTATCACACGAGAGCAACTGTAGGATTGCTGTCAGACACATCAAAACGATATGATCAACTTTTCTGTGTGTGTGTGGATGTGTGTTTAGGGGAAATAAAGCACTGAGTTGGAGGCTCTTTGACCACTGTTGCCACCTTAACCACATCTAGAAGCTTTGAGGCCAACTCCCTTTGCGGCGACGCACACGTATTCACACACAGCTGTTTCTAATCCCACTTGAGCTTTTGTGCTCAAGTTTTTCGACGAAAGCAGATGTAATTGGTATAAACACCTCAGCCTACATCCAATAGAAAACAAAAGAAAAATATAACTGTTAGTCACTGCAGAAGTTTCTGCTTATAAAAACNACGCTATATTGCCTTATATGTATTAGCTCGGCGCTAGCGTGACAAACAAGCTAAACTGAGGTCCTTCATCTATTTTTTCAGTTACAGGCTGAGTCATTTCTACCTTCTCCTCTCTGTCAACACTCTGGTTTCATTTTTAAAAAGTCAATCGTCAGATATTGTCCAAGATTAATCTTCAGGGTGGATATAGCTCGCTAGTAGCCTCGCACCGAGGACCTATCCACGTCATCATTTACCCAGAATGCTTTGCTTGTAAATAAAATGGCCCTGTCCGTGTAACATATTTTTAAACTTTTAGTTTAAAAATTATAAAAACTAAACAGTCTTTATTTTACAGTTAAAATATATGTTTATTAAATAAAGTCTAATGTTACAACTAATCAGGGATCCCTAATTCGGTAAAACTACCACTTAGGTTTATTTTGTGAACAAAAAAAATAATATAAACATGTTCTTTACCTTTCAACTTCCTGTTTTGATCTTTCAGGGCACAGAGTGAAGCTAGAAGACCCCCAGAAGATGCAGTTCTCCGACAGGCTCTCAGAAATTGAGCGCTACCACCAGCGAGCGATGCGGATAGGCCCGGTGAACAACAACCCACGCCCTCTTCACCAAACACACCTCGGCACCACGCAAGGTGAGGATCACAGCAGAACCCATTTAAAACCAAACCACAGCAACACTCTGAACTTAACAGCCGTAGTTGGAGGTAAACGGCTTTGATTAAAACGAACGTTTATGGTTTTATTTGGCCAGAGGGAAAGCAATCTGTAAGACAAATTTGAATGTAATGCGTTCAAGCTAAACCAAATGTCTCCCGTGTATGTTTTCTTTACGAGTTTTGCTCCACTAATCTGAGAGCTGTTCTGAGAGGCCAAGCTCATGTCAAGCTTTGTCCCTGGATGCTGTGCGTTGGCGGGTCCGGGCCCCACAGAGTGAGGGGCAGAAGCTGCCAGGTGGCGCGGCGAGCCCTGCCAGCTGAGTTTGGCCTCCGCTCACCTCGCGTTACAGCCTCGGGAATGTAGCAGCCGCCTGCTACCTTGGCAATCACGTCACTCTCAGACGGGTCGAATGTGCGGAGGTGAGCGGGTGGGGAGAGGTGGGACGGCGGTGACTTAGGCAGCGGTGGTGTGATGGGAGGGGGAGGGGGGAGGCCTGGTTTTAACATGTGTTCACGCTGTGAACAGCTGCGTGGGTGACGGCCCGGGTGAGGATGAGTCTTCACTCCCCATCCTCGTGTGTCACAGCAGATTTGACGGAGTATCTGGAAACGCACACGTCCACTCCCCACACCGCCCACTCGTCAGTTCTCATGCTGGCTAATGATTCTCATTACCTTTTGTAAGAGCGTGTTTCTGCTCACAGGAGGGCTTGTTTGGGAGCGTTGAGCCATGTGTGGGTGCAACTCTATCGTAGCCTCACACTGTTTGGCCTTGTGCTCAGCTTAGCCGGTGCTGAGTCACCACTATAGGCCTATCTAACAGCTGACTGCTGGGAACACTGGGTCTTTTACTCTGCTCCCTCCCGTCCTTACTGTCTGTTGATGCTGATTTGGTTCCTTTGCACAGCTCGTACCAAACTAAAAACACGTCAGCCGTTTTAGAAACACCGGCGACCGATAAACTGAAAATAAACAGCGCCGAAATTCAACACAATGCTGCCACTATGATGATAATTTTCTGATGGCTCAGAGTTTGGCATCGACCCCGTGGGTTGTCTGCCAGTAAAAAAAAAAGCCCCCCGCAGCTAAGATTTAACTAGAAGCCATGAGTTTCTGAGGCCAGCCTTGAATGTGCGGGGTGCGCTCCGATCGTCAGGGAGAGGTGCGCAGACACAGTCCAGACAGCAGACGAGGAGCTCTGCTCTTGTCTGCCTTGCACCGGATTAGGGCAGGAATTAGAGCATCATAGGCTTTTGGGGCTTCAAAGGGCAGTGGTGCTGCAACACACACACACACACACACACACACACACAAAAACTCACCAGCCAAGCAGCTTTCCTGTTTACCTACCTATGAGGGGAAGTAAAATGCCCACTCTGTGTGTGCTCACTCTTCCTTACGTACACTCACCCATGGAGGAGGGAGCCATTACGACCTTTCAGCTGTAATTCAATAAAAGTTCTGATCTGCATTTAGAAAAATAAATGGCCCGTGAGTGGAGGAATATTTTTCTACGCTGYTGCGTTATGACAATAAACCGTTTTCTGTGTCGGGACAGCGGGCACAGGAGCGGCTTGTGGGAATGAGGCACCTGCTGGTTACTGGAAAAGACGACGTGTACCACCACACTGCGGTTTGGATATTTATTCCTCCAGGCCTTAAATAATAGGTGCAGCAAGGTCTTCCTTTTGAGTCCAAACGCGTAGAAGGTTGTAATCCTCCTGGTAAACACAGAGAAGCCTTGGCTCTTCAAAACAAACCGGAGGAGTCGCTGCAAAAACAGGAGAGGTCCGCCTCAACACTGCCGCTCTCGCGCACTAACAGCATGGCAACTTCAGAGGAAGTGCTGAAAGTGAAATGCGTGGAACTYGGTGGAAAATTCACACGTTTCTGCATTTCTCTCGTTTCCTTTGACTCACCTGGGATTGGAACGGTTGTCTTTCTGTGGAACCCTCAGAGCGCGTGAGTGTTTAGGGGCTAAACGCGCTCGTTTTGCACAATATTGTGAGCGATCTGGCGCGCACAAAGGTGTGAACACGGAGCCGTTTGACACATCTGCTGGCGTTGCATTGATGTATGCGACAGCAACAGCTTGCTTTCCTTTCTCACAGCTCTGCAAGGCCCCCACCTTTCCCCCCGGCACCCCGCTGCTGCTTAGAGCAACCTGAAAACATGCAAACACACACAGACACACACACTATCAGACATGTACAACAAGCCTATTCACCATTAGAGCTAAAATAACACACTAACAGCAGCTTATTGCTTTAATTTGAGCTGTCACCGGAGCCAAATGGGCCTTCTGTGCTCGACGAGGCCAAAACAGCGGCAGCAGCGCTGGGAAACCTGCAAAGTCTGCAGGCAAGCAGCCAAAGAGCCTGAAAAACAGCCTTGCTTATATCACTCCCCAACACGCATTAGTTCTAGCAGAAGACAGTTACACACACACACACACACACACACACACACACACACACACACACACACACAAACATAGATTTGCTACATAAAAGAGGGATGATTGCTCTCAACTTGCTACGGGTCTTTCTGTATTGTTAAAGAATCCGGGTGCATTGGACCTGATTTTAGCACCCCTGCAAAACATCCCCCCCTCCCCACAACAGCAGCCTGCCTAAACCTGTCTTGTTGTAGGCCTGTCCTTGTGTGGCGCAGCCTCTGTCACACACACACACACACACACACACATACACACATGCATACACAAAGCGCTTTATCCCTCTTATCAGAAAAGGAAGGCTGCGCTCTTTGCTCAAACAGTCTCATGAAGCAACTTCCGCTGTGAGCAGCTTGTTTTCAGGCCTGCGAAGGGGGATTTTCACACTGCTGATGTCCCTCGAGACAAGCCGATGCATCTGCCTGAGGGACCAGACRATCCCCCCAGCTGTGGCCGGCCATAGAGGTTGAACTCCAGATAAAAGCATACCAAATCCTTTTTTTTTTCTTTGGACCTCCTTCAAAAAAGACCAAATAACGTTTCCACAAAACCCCTCCCCGCCGCCGTGTTCGGGCCGCTGTGTTGATGATACAGCCTTTCCACTCACATAAATATTGTGTTCATTCCATCCATGATAATGATATGGTGGCAGGACTTGGTGAGTTCATACTGAAAGTGTAGCAGGAGAGGTATGTAAATGAATTTAAAGCAGTGTGATGTCTGCGTGTGGCTATAGCGTCGACTCATTTAGGCCCAGACGAGACAGCCACAATCACCATCCAAGGGTAAAACCCACATCCCTCAGGGTCAGCCTCAAAACAAGAACTTTGATTTGCCCCACTGTAAATACTCTATGGTGTAATTGGTGGCCTTGGAAAGCATTGTGCCAAACAGACTGCTGCTGAGATGGGTTTTTTTTTCGAGCCCGCGCCTGTAATAGAACAAAAAGGGAAGTATGAGAAAGGGTGGCGGAAAGCAGCGAGATGGGAGCGAGAACGTGAAAGGGAGGGAGGGGGCAGGTTCAGGTCCGCTAGAGAGGAGGAAGAGGAAGACAGGTGTGCACGACTTTGCTCAACAGATGTTGAAACATCTTCACTGTCTGTTGAGGGCAAACGGAAGTTTGCACGCAGGCGAGCAGGCCCCAGAGCAGCGTGCGCTCAACTGTCGCCCCACATCTCGCTGTCGAGTTTGAAAAGCCAGATAAGGATGCAGAGCTCTTGTTTTCTCAAGATTTCAACACTTAACTTTCAGTACAGTMACTCATCCAGTCAAGACTTGTAATTAAATGCTTTTTAAACTTGCAGTATTGTTGAAATGGCTTTTTTAAAACAGCATACACAAGTATTTTTTAAGCTGATTTACAGTAAAAAAAAAAAAACACATTGCAGTCAGCTGCCTTTTGTTAGCTTTCATATTAAACATGGCGTGTTCGCTACAGCCTGAACATTTTAGTTTGTAACCCTATACCACACATAGCTAGGCTTCACAATCCAGACATAGTTTTCAGTGCTAAGTGCAATCCTTGTGAATTTGAGTTTTATCACAGGCCCTATCAAGTCCATTTATACGGTGAATACAAATATTTACACTTCAAATACATTTGACTCAGGTTTCGTTCGGAGCCAGAGCACGTCTTGCCCTTTGCTGTTCAGATAAAGTGTCGCTCCGATTCCTCACAAAAAGAGCTGGTGTTTATTGTGCCGTGCCACAGAGAACATATGTTTCTTTATTTTAACTGAGTCAGAGCAACAAAGAAAAAGAGGCTGAAAAATGTAGGAGATGAAGAAAAGGAAATGAGTCTTCACGGGTGATCAGATGTGGCATCGTGTTGAAGTCCTGGCAGTCACCTCGCAGTGCAAACACCGTCTCTGTGTTGAGATGATATGAGCTATGTGGAGGAAAGGCTGGGTGGATTTTTTTGCTGTTTATGTGGTCGGGCCTTCCCTCAGAATACGAGCTCGTAAAAAAAAAACTTCACTTTCACTTCACCTGCCCTCCTCGCTGCTGCTTCAAAAGCAGCATATCGAGCAAAGCAACTCGCCGAGTGCCTCTGCAACAATTATAAGACACTATGAGGAAATAAAAACCTATTTACATGTGAAAAACAAAGCAGCGCTRGGAACGGCACACCCATTTCTTCAAAACACACAGCCATCGCCTCTCAGTACGTCGTTATTACCAGACATTTTATATCAAGCATTTTATTTATTCTTCATACACTTCCATAATGCTTTCAGTTGATGCGACCACTACCCTGAGAGGAGGCTAGTAAATCTGCAGCCCTTTATCATCCATTTTCAACTCTGGATGCATATCGAGCACTGCTGTTTAGGCCTCATATGTGCAGTGGCTCCCATCTCCCAGCACTATTTTGTGGTTATGATATCATAGAGAGAAAAAAACAAAACAAAGACATTCTCTTCTAAGTGCACCCTGACACATTAAATATTCATCTAACCACGAAAACCCCTCTGAAATGGGGCTGGTGTGGAGCTTCGGCACCCTTCTGGCCCTCCGCCGT